TATTTATTTATTTTTCATGTGATGCTAAGGATCGACCACTTGCTAGGCAAGTGTTCTACTGAGCCATAACCCCAGCCCATACTGAGAATTTTTTAACAAAAAATGTGTACTTCAACATGATATACATGTTCAGTATTTACAAAATAGAAAATCATATTTTAAAACCATATTCATGGGGCCAGGGATGTGGCTCAAGTGGTGGCGTGCTCGCCTGGCATGCGTGCGGCCCGGGTTCGGTCCTCAGCACCACATACAAAGATATTGTGTCTGCCGATAACTAAAAAAAAAATAAATACTAAAAAATAAAAAAAAAACCATATTCATGAATCTTACTCTTAAAAATTTAAGTTGTGTATTTCAGGTATACACAAATTCAAGTATACAACCCTGTTTTTTTAAAATTAATTAATTATTATTATTATTTTTTAATACTGGGGATTGAACCAGGGGTGTGCTCCCACTGAGCTACATTCCCAGTCCTTTTTATATTTTACTGAGAGATAGGGTGTTGCTAAGTTGCTAATGTTGGCTTTGAACTTGTAATTCTTCTGCCTCAGCCTCTCAAGCCACTGGGATCACAGGTGCGCGCCACTGCACCTGGTTTCTCATATTCTGCATTCTATCTGTGGCCTCATTCAGCCTCACAATCTGTTTTTTTTTTTTTTTTTGGTCCTCTGCTCTTCACCTTCCCATTGTCTCCCCTCAGCTCCTGGCCCTGGTAACTACTCTTCTATTCTCTATCTTGGTGTACTTGACCTATTTCCCATGTAAGTGAGGTCATGCAAACTTGTCCTTCAGCGTCTGGCTTACTTCACTTAGCATACTGTGCTGTCATTTCATCCCTGCAGTGGCCAAGGGAAGGATCTCCTTAAGGAGATCCTCACGCTTGTTTTCATAGCGTGGCTATTGTGAATGATGCTGCAATGCATGTGGAGGTACAGACGTCTTTATAAGGTGCTGATTTCATTTCCTTTGGGTATATGCCTTAAAACGGCATTGCTGAGTTATGTGACAGTTTTAGTTTTTTCTTAACAAAACTTTCTATTGTGTTCCCTAATGGCTGCACCAGCGTACATTGACAACAATGTATAAGGTTTCCTTTACTCCATATCTTCCCCAATGTTGGTTATCTTTTCAGCTTATAATAGCCATTCTAATAGGTGTGAGGTGGTATCTCACAGTGGGTTTGCTTTCCATTTCCTTGATGATTTGTGACATGGAGCACCTTTTCATACTGGCCTGGAACTTGTGATTCTCCTCCCTCAGCCTCCCAAGCCTCTGGGATCCTAGGTGTGCACCTTCGCACCCTGCATGTCTTGCCTTTGCATAAGCCCATCACTTCTCTTTCATGCCTCTCTCCACACTTTCTCTCACATATTGCTCTCCCACCATGTGACAACATATGATATGTGATGATTCAGCCAATAGACCCTCATCAGATTAGTGGCACAATGGCGTGTGGACTTCCAAGCCGCTTTTTCTCATCCAACTTCTGTATTTTATGACAGTAAGAGAAAATGGACAGAGACATAACTTCTTAATTATGGCTTTAAATGTTTTTTTCCTAAATTGGTAGATGCTGTTTTCATGTAGTTGCTTGACAGAAGCAGAAGGTTTTTAATTTAATGTAACTCCTTTTATTTATGTTTTGCTTTTGTGACCTGAGCTTTTGGTGTAGTATCTACAAAATCAATGCAAGTCAGTGTCCAGGCACTTTCTCCCAAGTTCTCTCTTCTGGTTGCTTTATAATAACGTTTCATTGTTTTGACCATTTGTCAATTCATTTTGTGTAAGATAGGGGTTCAGTTTCATTCTTCAGCTTGTGGAAAGGCACTTTCCCTGTACTCTTTGAGGAGGCTGTCTTTGTGCCTTCTTGGTGCTATGGTCAAACTTAATTGATAGTATATGTTCTGATCTATTTCTGGACCCTGTGTTGTATTCCACTAGACTGCTGTGTGTCTTGTTTTAGTTGTTGATGGACCTTTATTTTATTAGTTTATTTATACATGGTGCTGAGAATCATACTCAGTGCCTCACATATTCTAGGCAAGGGCTCTACCACTGAGCTACAACTCCAGCCTCAACTGTGTGTCTTTTTTTAAACAAGAATAATACCATCTTGATTATTATAACTTGGTAAAATGCTTTTGTGATAGGAAGGTGGTACTTCAACATTATTCATCTCAGAATTTTTTGTGTGTGTGTTGTTTAAGGTATTTTGTGATTCTGAATATTTTTTAGTATTGTATTTCCTATATTTGTGTGGAATTTATGATTTTTATTAGGATCTCGTTGAATATGTATTGTTTTGGGTGGTATGGACATTTTAATACTCATTTTCCTGATCCATGAATACAAGTTAGCTTTTTATTTATTTATAATTTTTCCTCAGTGTTTTTTGCTTTCATTCTATAGATGTTTCACATCCTTGGGTAAATTTATTTTTAAGTAATTATTATTATTATTATTATTATTATTATTATTATTGTAGTGGAGCTTGATCCCAGGGGCCCTTACCATTGAGCTACATTCTCAGGGTTTTTTTGTTGTTGTTGTTGTTGTTTGTTTTTGTTTTAAATTATTTTGAGGCAGGGTCTGTCAAAGTTGCTGAAGCTGGCCTGGAAATTGCCTTCTGCTCAGTCTCCTGAGTTGCAGGGATTATAGGTGTGGGCCACTGCTCATTGACTTTCTTTGTGTTTCTCACCTTGACCTGCAGTTTTCTCCTCTTTCATATCTTTGGCTTTGGTATCACTAGGATGCTGATCTCCTAAAACGTTTTTGGAAATACTACACCTAGTGCTATGTTGGGGAAGAACTTCAGTATCAATTCTTGGAGTGCTTGTTTAAATTCAGCCTGGAATCCATCTGGCTTTGCGCTTCTCTTTCTTGGTAGATTTTTGGTTACTTATTCAGTGTTTCTTGTTGTATATGGTCTGTTCAGGCTTTCTAGTTTTTCCTGACTCATTCTTGATAGATTGTGTATTTCTAGGAATTTATTCCTTTCCTCTTGGGTATCCAATTGGTGGGCATGTATTTGTTTCTAATAGTCACATATAAACTTAAAAAAATTATGAGGTGTCTATTGGACTGGTTTCATTTTATTATTATTTTATTATTTTATTTACTTGAATCTTCTCATTTTCCCAGAGCACCTTGTTTTTTGTTTGTTTGTTTGTTTTTGTTTTTTATAAAAGCAATTCTCACCATTACTGATTCTATCTCTATCTTTTCTGGTGTTTGTTTGATTTAGATTTATTATTTTGGTCTTCATTGTATCCTTCCTTCTGCTCCTTTTGCATTTACCTTGTTCTCTTCTTTCAAGTTTTTTGATCCATAATATTTGACTATATATGGGCTTTTTCTTATTTTTTCAAGTTGGCATTTATTGTTTTATGCATCCATTGAAGAGCTGCTTTGGCTTCATTCCATGAGTTTCAGATGTTCATTATGTTTCCATTTTTGTCTCAAGATATTTTCATTTCCCTTTTACCTTTTTCCTTGATCCATGGATTGTTCAGGAGTATGTTATTTAGTTGCTGTATATTTGTGAAATTTCCAAGATTCTTCCTTTTACTGATTTCTAGTTTCATACCATTGTGGTCTCAGGAGATATTATATGAGAGAAGTGTAGTATGCCAATAAATTTTAAAAATAAGCAAACAACAACAAAAAAAGTTCAGCTTTAAACTTACTGATAAAAAAATTTTTTACCAAAATGTGTATTTAAATGTGATGTAAATGTTTTTACAAATCAGAAACAATAATGGGAATTCCTGTTGAGAGCCACAGCCAAAGGGGCCCCAGAAAACTTCCAGCTGCCAGCAAACTCCCAGCTGCCGGCTGATGATTGGCTCACAGTGGCCCCAGC